AAAATTGTAGATTTTCTTATTTTCCTCCAGGAGGAAATTACACTACATTGATACACGTGGAAACAAATGGAGCAGAAAGGAAGAAAGTAATTACCTAATGAACAACTGAACAAGTGTAAAACAAGCATATTCATCAGAAAGAATTTCTTTATTATGTAATTACTGTCTCAACACTCAACCACGCTGACATAGGCTTGTTTCCCATGACTATTATCTTTAAATGGTTAAAACTCCAAGTAGATGTACATTTCTCTCGGATTCCAAACAAAAGGAAATTTCCGTACCAGATATCTACCACAAACAAATGAAGCTGAAAATTTAACAATGAATCAAACTGTAATATAAGTGAACTCCTACTATTTTGTCATTGCTAGCAGAATTAAAACTGCAATAAGAGTAGAAAACTGATATTTTGGAAATTTTGTCCATAACTTCAAGCAGATTGAAATGTTGGTAAAATTTGTAAAATAAAATACAATTTCCTTTTTCTAAGTTAATCACATCAAAAAAAATTGAAGAAAACATGGTAAGATGAAACATTTTAAAATCTTATGGACATCCGGGGTCTTTATAAGATCATTAAATTCTAAAGGATCAATAAGCACGAAGGTTCAAAACGCAGATAGACCATACCCATTCAAGAAGATACACTCTATCGTCTTCCAAACTTGAGTCAGAATTTGGCCTTCCACTGACAATCTCTAAAGCTACAACTCCAAAGCTAAATACATCTGCTTTCTCGGTAAGGTGTCCACGCATGGCATATTCAGGTGCAAGATACCCACTATATGAGTGAAACATGAAAACTCAGTAATAAATCCACCCTGCTAGCCTACATTTAAACTGGAAATGTATGCCACTAAACAAAAGATTAATACAGAACGAAGGAACATTATGGATTTAGAAATTTTGTGGATCATACATTGTTCCAGCAACGCGGGTGCTTATATGGGTCTTTTTGTCATCATACAATTTGGCCAGACCAAAATCTGAAATTTTAGGGTTCAGATCAGAGTCGAGCAAAATGTTGCTGGCTTTAACATCTCTGTGTACAATTCGAAGTCGAGATTCCTCGTGCAGATAAGCAAGACCTCTTGCTACTCCCAAGCATATCTCAAAGCGTGTTGGCCAGTCAAGAGATAAACTTCTACTCCCTGCTCCACCAAAGCATAAAGATTCAGTCTCCTGAATATGGAAGTTAATATGTAGCGTGGACAATCTTTCTCATTATTACCAAATAATACTTGATCAAGACTCTTGTTTACGAGATATTCATAAACAAGCAACCGTTTATCTCCCTCGATGCAGCATCCATACAATTTTACAAGGTTACGGTGCTGCACAGCTGA